GTTGGCACGCACAGGGACCGCTTCGGCCGCGCAAGCTGCCTGCACTCGATCCCGCCTCTGGGGTTTTCTTGACTCTGTATTTATACCGGGCTCAGGTAGGTGAGGGAGAAGAGGGTACGGTAGGTTGCGCACGAGTTCACTATCATTTCAAACTAATTCACACGTAAGGCACCGACCCTGTACTAACCTGCTTTAGAGCATACGGTGGATATTGTCGAAATTGACGGTCGAACTGTCGTATAGTAAGTGCCTAATGTAGGAGCACTACAGACATGTCAGATATGAGTATAAAAATGAGCAGAAAGTGTTAGTTAATTGTCTGGCAGGCTAGAGCTTTATTTATTCCTTTTCTCAAAAATTCAGAAATGGTTTCTGGTGAAGAGGATAGGAAGCAGTCAGAAAAAGCATGTCCACCACAGTCCGCAGATCGAGCGTCCTCAGCTGAACGCAGAGCAGCGAAGAAGGAGGCTATAAAGGCTTTTCTAACCCAAAGAATTTCTGAACAGGCCTCCCTGTTAGACTTCAACGTTGATGCGAGTGCCACTGAGAAGGCAGAGGAGGCGAGGATTCAATGTGGTGTTTATGAAGCGAAGTTTGGACAGCTTACCTTCCAAGACGGTATGTCAGTTCCAATGTTCTAAATAAAGCATACTTGGCCAGTAAATTTAGACGTAAATTGTAAAATTGAGGGTCTAAAACTACTTTGTTGTATAACCTTCCTCCCCCCTTCGAAAGGTCGTGGCATTTGCCACGGCCATTCAAGCGTAGCTGCATCTGCTGATCGCACCATCATGACAGATATGGCCAAAGCTTATGGGAGTCAGAATCCCTCATGTAAATAAGTCTGAACCATAGGACAGTGCAGCTCAGAGATTAATAAATCCAACTCGACCGCATCAGACACTGTTGATCCTTCAGTTGTGGCATTTGAATTATGGACACTTTCAGTAGTAAGGATCTAATCGGTGTAATCACTTTGCAAACCAATACGCGAGGTCCCCCATAATGTGCAAAGGGTGATTACTAGGAATTCTGTGGGTGATGAAAAATTGTAACTAGTCGGAAAATGTGGAAAAAAAGAAAAGTCATAGATGTGGAGACGTTCGTTTAGGCACGCTTGTTCACTTTCCGAAGCTGCGCGCAATTAGAAACAGATGTTGTAAAGAAGAGGAAGACGCAAACGATAGTTTTATTCTGAGCTTTCGGCTCCACACGAGAAGCCATCGTCAGAATAAATGAAAACAGCAGACGTCAGCTAAGCATAAATGGGGTTGGAAGGGGGGTGGCAATTATTGATTGGTCCCTGTCCACGCGACA